AAGTCTTTGTGGCAAGAAATAGATTTGATAGAAGCTGTAACCTGGGACACCACTAATGATGCAGAGACCTAYAGAAAACTGGTTGAGAGAAACAGGGTGTTTGAGTTCTTAACTGGACTAAACCCAGAGTATGATATTACAAAACAAAATATTTTATCCAAGGATAGTCTCACTGTCACAAGCATATGCCTTGGTAAGTAGTGAAGAGAGCAGAAGGATTGTCCAGGTTCAAGGGGCTGGTCTAAATGATCACTTTGCTAATATGGGAGTGAAACCCAAAGGGGTTGCAGGGACTCCAAGTGGCTCAGGGAAGAAAGAGGTTGTCTGTGAGTATTGTAAAAGGCCAAAACACACTAAAGACAAGTGCTGGAAATTACATCCTGAGCTTCTACCTCTTCGGTTTCAGAAGAAGCATGATAATAAAAGGGCATGGAGTGCTAATGTTGCTGCTGGTCCAGATAGTGACAAGTACCGAATTGAAGAGATGACAGCTAGTGCACAGTTAGCAACCATGAAAGCAGAATACGAGAAGTTTGGGAGGATGATCAGTCACCTAGAGGGTGTGACTTCTTCTTCCAACCCTTCAGAAAATTCAACCTCTTCTGCATTTGCTCATTYARGTATACGGGCTTCTGCCAATCATGCAACCATTTTAGGTAATCGTAGGATCCCTTGGATTATTGATTCAAGTGCTTCTAATCATATGACCAACCTTTCTACCTTGTTTGTTTCATATGATTTACTTCCTGGACATAACAAAATCACCCTAGCCGATGGTTCTCTTGCCTCTATCTCCGGCAAGGGAACCATCAAGGCTACAAATTCCTTGATCCTTCCTTTTGCTCTTCATGTACCTAGACTAAATACAAACTTGTTATCTGTAAGTAGTCTAACTAAGTCATTAAATTGTTGTGTAACCTTCTTCCCTTCCTACTATGTTTTTCAGGATCCAGAGTCTCAGAAGGTGATTGGGAGTGGCCGTGAGGCGAATGGAATATACTTGCTTGATACTCCGGGACAGTGCCCTGAACAACCTAGAAAAGCTGCTTTTGGGTCTATATCTACAGAGTCTATCAGTCGAGTCATGTTATGTCATTTTCGTTTGGGTCATCTTTCTTTTTCT